TTCTGTTGCATTCTGCTACATTCCTTCGCGTGCGGCGTCTCTCTCGCCGCGACACGACAATTTCGTTCCTACTGCGCCACACTCAAGGAAATGACTGTCATGAATGATCAGTCTTTTCCACAGGAACTTTTCGAGCCACAGTTGTTACAGTATTGAGGAAATAGAGCTTATGAACACTCCAACGTATAGCAATCACTATCAGCTTTTTCACGGTCCCTAACTCTGCTATGAAAATTCCTCTCACATCCCTCTCATTGCTTGCCTCATCTATTCTGTATAACCTGTTCCTGTCATAAGAGTTCTTCATCTGAAACTGACCGTGAGCCCAGGAGTCATGATGGAGATCGTCTCTCATTCTAAAGAGATTTGGCAGTTTAACGCTCAGATCACCTAGCTTAATCGCCTGAAATGACAAGCCTACCTGCCTACCTTACCATTCATACCCTGTACCTCCCACATACCTCCCATGTCTAGGAGGGATTGCAAATTCAAATAGTCAGAAAATGCAAATGTTGTTGCTGTCCTTCAGTTTTTGTTGTTGTGTTGTTTTTGTTGTTCCTCATCGTTACTGGCTAGTATACTCACCGCTCTGATATCAACTCCCTTCTAAAGCGATCGTTTTTGTGTCGTTTTGTTGTCGTAATCAACCTTTAATGATCGTCTTGCTTCAGGATGGAGGAGTGTGCTGTCTTTACGGATAAAGTAAAAGATCCTTCATTAGAAACTCCGATCATCATAGGTTTCTCTATTTTGTACAGGTAATTGTGACTGAAACATTCTTCACTCTTTTACTTACCTTCCCTCAGTAGTAAACGATATTTAATTGATGAAATTTCAGCACAGAGTTTGTACTGGGCATTGTCGGTAATATTGGCGTTATATTTTTCACATTCGGCCATCGAAAGTTACAAACAGTACAGGTAAGTTGACTGGCTTCTAGAGAATCTTCGGTAGATGCATCTGAATCTGACCATTTCAGAATATGTTCATTCTGAATTTGGCACTTGCTGATCTGATCGTTTGCATGTTCTCCCTGCCTCTTACACCAGTTACGAGTATTTATAAAAATTGGTATTTTGGCGAGCTTATGTGCCATTCTCTTCCATGGATTCAGGTACGCTGATCTTTTCCTTGATTCTCTCATCAACAAGCTTCCCCCTTTGCCATTACATCTGAAGAGAGATGAGTAGAATTCGATTTAAAAAAAACATTCTGGGGGATTGTCTGTTGTTCGGGGACTTGGGGAGGTTCTAATTTGAATAGTTTCGGTCAATGCATAGCAATTATCTTGAGATTTTCATGAACTGTTGGTATGAATTGGCAAATGAGACGCTGCGGTGACCCTGGGAACATTTAGTATTGATTGTCTATATAAGTGACTGCCTAGGTAACATTCCCTTTGGGTTAGGTATTGCACCCACTGAAAGTACTATCAGACAGCGAAGAAACCGCTTTTTTAGTGATATCTGAAAAGTTTGAGGGACCTAAATGTTCGTAAACAGCTCCAGAGGGTGAAGGATGAAGTTTTCGGGCGTTAGTCAGTTCCAACTGAGGGTTGCGCCCATGCATTCGACTTCCGCTCAGAATCGTAGTGACGGATGGAATGCGTATGTGGCCTATACAATGACTTGCGGTGGTCAGCCGATGTATACGCCTGTGCTTTTACCCTCTCTGAGCAGTCTGGCACCAATTAACCGACCTTGGATTTGTGGAAGGCTTGTCTGGCCTAATCGAATATCCATGCTGGATTCGAACCCGTGACCGTGCTCGCCTGGTAGTGCGCCAACTTCCTAGTACACCACCTCCGCCCCTTGCAAATACTAATTGTATGTTTTATGGTTTGACATATTTTTTCATCTTTTAGGGTGCCAGTGTGTTTGTGGCCACATTCAGCCTTGCAGCGATAGCTATTGATCGTTATATGATGGTTGTTACACCACATCAAAGGAGAATGACAGCACCTGTGAGTTTTTCAGATTTTTCTTCATCAATTAAGATCAGATTTCCTTAATAGAATTCTGAACTACAAATTTAGCATGCACGACTTGTGATGGTTTGCTTATGGGTCATGTCGGGGCTTATAACACTTCCATATTCCTGGTTCATGACTTTGGAAGAGCATGAAGGTCTATGTGGCAAGTTCTGTACCGAGGCTTGGCCTAACGCGAGGCTACGACAGTAGGTTTACAATAAATTTATGACTTTTCTATTCTATGATAGTGATACCATAGATGTACTTAGAAAGAATCGGAAATTCGTAGCTCCACTAATTAAAATGACCCTCTGGAAGTATTTAATCGACTACTCAAAATGCCCAGCTTTGTTTGAAAAAACTCCGTTTCCTCGCTTTTTTTCTCATTCGTTTGCAAGTCGTTTTGAGAGCATACTTATCCTATCTGTGCACGCAGTTTCAATTGGAAATGTATGTTTTGATGAGGAGGGAATGCCAACGAGACTATTGAGAGACCAACAAGATGACTCCTTCTTGTTGCTGCCTGACATCTTGGGATGAGTATGTTTGTTTGTCAACTGTGTGAATGGCGCAAATGACTGTCGCGAATGACTGTATTGTTATCGCATTAGCTTACTGAGTGGCTTTCTTGCAGCAGACAACAAAGAAAATCCCTTGCAAGACAATTGACTATGCTCGAAAGCCAGAGTAGGGGCCTCAGCTCTCAGAGCAATATGTTTAATCATCGAAAGATGTCTAAAGCACTTGTAGAGTATAGGTATCAAATCCCAGATAGATGCCTGCCCACACGAACCGAGTTTCCCATCTCTTCAAGATCAACTAATTGCTACCGATGATCTGAAAGAGTGGTAGCACCGGCGTCCTCTTCACCAGTCTTCAGCGATTCTGCATGGTCACGGGTTCGAATCCCGATATGATACGATATCCGCTCAGGCCAATCGAACCTTCCATCCTTCCGGGGTCGGCTAATTGGTACCAAACTTGTCTGAGTGGATAAAAGCACTGACTTGTACATCGGCTGGCCACCGTAAATCATTGTATAGGCCACATACGCATTCAATACGCTACTACGATACTGAATAGAACTCGAATGCGAGGGCGCATTCCTCAGACAGGGTTGATTGAAGCCA